CGAGAACTCTAACCAATAAGCGCCACCCATCCTTTCACCCGCCGTGTAAGTTAGCTACTTACTCGCAAATTTAAGCACATTCTACGAGTGCTTTATAAAAGTTGTTAATTTTAAGGAAATACTTGTTAAGTAAAGTTAAGTAAACATATCCTGAAGTTTGCCTGGATTATCCATTACGATATCTATGATAAAGTCGCTTAATCTCGGTGCTGAGTTTCAGGGATTTACCGGTCTCACTTTAGGAGATTTACTATATAAAACTATTTTCATTCTGCTTAGTTATCCTTGATCTATCCCGTTTTTCAGTTGGTCCTACAGGAAAAAAATTTCTATCTCGGTGCTAGTTAAAATAATAAATTTCGCAATATTAATCACTAATAGGCCCTTTGCAGTACTGCTGAGCAAAATATTTTCATTTATTTTAAATTAGTGATTCTTTTTAGGTACTTGTAAAGAACTGAATGAAACGATGTGTAACCAGTGTGTTACGAAATGCAATTTTATTTAGATCTCTCGAAACAGGTTGTAGAAAGTTTGTTTGCTCACCAGGATATTTCGCCCATGGGAATCAAGWTGTTCATTCATTTGCTCTCAGTGAATTAATCAGCACGTGATTACTGAGCTGCAAATGGCCTATTCAGTTTTGAAATTTGCGTCTCTTGTCGCTTTTCTCAATAACAAAACTCTGGTATATAACCTTTCAAGTTACAAATTTATTAACCAGATTTTCAGTCATGCAGCCACCGCAAAGATGGGGTGTTCGACGGTGAATGACTGAATATTATTTTAGAAAAAGAGACGAAGAAGAAGGTGAATCTCTCAATATTACATTAGGAAAAGAGCTTTTTTAAACTGAAAAAGATTTTTTTATAAAAGAAATATATATCGTCAATTTTGCTTTAAACTTCAACATGGTTTTCTTCCTCGTTTGTTTATTTATTTCATAATTTGTTAAAGTATTTTGTATAAAAATAAACTTTTTGAAATTCATGAAGTTATATTAAAACTTCACAAATAAAAAGTCATTCTAGTTTAAAGTCATTGATTGCAACCTCGTAATCAAACCTGGAACCGGCACAATCAACCATCAAAGCCAGCTATTTCATTCCGAGACGACGAAAAGACTTCAGCTCATAAATGATGCGTAAACCATAATTAGATTGATGATATTGACCCGCATTTTCGCGGTTTTTCGGACTGTAAATTCAAACCACGGTATGGTTTGTTAATGATATTAGATCTCCATGTTTCACGTTAATCGAACCAAAGTGGCTATCCAATTTGGCGCCAATTTTTCATCTCCGCTAGCGCGCGCTCGCAATAAATATTAATGACCATTAGTTGATGTCTAGCCAGCGTTGAGCTATGACATCGATTAGATCTGACAACCTGTCTTGCCAAAGCACTCGCAAATTAAGTTTGAATCTTTTATAGTCCAAAGATATCATTTGAATATTATCTTCGTAGAACCCTTGAACTGAGCTAACAGTCATATAAGATGATTTTAAATCTCGTTATTAGGCAAGCGTCTTTTTCACTCAAATCATTTTTATGAATGAATCAAATTATGTTACGACTTGGAGTTCGTGATATCTGACCATCTAATCTTGCATTAAATATTCAGCACTATTATTACTTGGCAGAAAATCTGTTTTCATATAAAACGAGTTGCTCCGTAATGTCCGACCAAAAACTACTCTTCCCCTAAGATAACTGGAGAGACAAACCAAACAAACACAAGGCAATTCCTATACTAAATAGAAAAAATAACAAATAATTTAATTGCTAAGAAAGCACAGAATCACGAAAATCAGTAGTTAAAAAATCGCCATTTACTGAAATAACACAGGACTGAGAAGGGCAATGAAAATGTAGGACAGTTGACTGATTGAATAATAAGGTCGTCATTCACTGTCTTGAAAATATTTTCATACTACAAAACTGAAGGTTTGATTCAGTATTTCGAATCCATACACCTCTTGTTTATTTTACCAAAATAACTAAATATTTATACGGAAATACACTGAACGTAGTCAGAAAAATAAATCATGCAGTATTTCATGTTAAGTATTTTATTCCTTCGTTTCTGTGTTTATTTTATTTCAAGTCTGATGATCTAGCGTCTATTAGTAATAAGAAAAGAATTTGTGCCCCGCAGCACCAACTCAATCTAGAAGCGGATCTTTCTCGTGATCACAGTTTACAACACTGATACTATGAGCGTCGCTTGAATATAGTAAACAGAAAGTAGTTTCTACATTGTTTCATGCTTTGGCGCCTTTTTACACGAACACCTGCTTTCATTCACTTAACTGATGTTCATTCATAARACATTTTCGCGCGTTTTCTAAATGGGCGCGCCCGCGTCTATTTTCCCGCGCTTTTATCAACACACCTGCATGATATTGTAAACATTATTTCAAGTCATGAAACGGCGTCTCATAAATATTTCATTCTTGCCGTCACTCTCTTTGAAGTTGATAATCAACATAAAAAATACATTTGAAATAAGGCGTTAATTCCCAGAAATTCCATCCTTACCTAAAAAAAATTATAATTTCAAAAATATTAAGTCATAAGATAAACAAAGAGAAAAAATTTCCTCGCGCGAATAGTGAGGTGATCGACACGTTGTCAAGGGCTTCCCGCCGCGTACGCTTTCTCTTTGGCGGGCTTTTATCTTACCAGATGTTAGCATTTGTAGTCTGTTTATTGGCGATGAATTAAGGAGTTCTACTACTAAGACTTTTTCATATCTTGGATCTTTGTTTCGAGATTAAAAAACTAATCTCGATAGATTTTATCGTTAATACGTTAATTGAAATTTCTTCATTGACTGCTTTTTTTACCAATTATAGCAAATATAGTATATGAGGCATAATAAATGAATAAAAACTGCGGGCTCATGAATTATTGGTCTCACTTACTCAATGTATATCCGTGTATAATTATGTATGTGGTTAAATATGGGTAATCATTTGAAGAGGCCGAGCCAGCAGGGGTAGAAACTACGTCATTTGTTATTGGCATTTTTTCATAGTTACAGCGTCTGTACATTAATTTGTTGCTTCCTGAGTACTGACTGAGAGCTTAACATATATATATATATATATATATATATATATTGATTGGCATCAGTTTCGAGTTCCTTTTTCAATGTTTGTCGATTTAGTCTTCTTAGGTATTTTTAGACCAAAGTTTATTTTTAACTACTTCAACTAAGGTACGACGCCATTCACTTGTCTTCTCGGCATTAAACTCTTCCTTTACATCGGTTTGTTGATCATGAGCAAACAAAGCCGCTAGACTTTGAACAATCCCTGTATTTCCGGCAGGGTCGCTATATTTTACTTTTGTCCTTCACTCATGCCGCTCCTCCGAGGATATAAGACTAGGTACTATTCCTAACACGGACAAACTAACCAAAGCAGTATAACATAATCATTTATGGAGGGAGAGGGGGGTGGAATAAGTGCAAAATCCTATCGAGTTGAATGTTGTATGTTGTAAATATAAAATGTGTTGTAGTGCGGGTGGGGCGAACGTCACAGAAGAACCCCGGCTAACCGGGAAACCCCATCCACTACAGCCCCTTATTTAGAACCTTACTAAAACATGGAATGGGGAATGGGAGAAGACCGGGAATGGGGAATGTAAGACTGGGACGAGTGATCAGCGGTATGACCCTTAAAAATTGCCATGGCGCTTAACCTTGTGATCTATCGTACTAAAAATGTTCGATAAAAAGGAGAATGACAATCAGAAAGTATTACTTTTAGTATTTAGATTCATATTC